ATCCTTTTCTTCTTTAAAGAAATTGATTTGACCGGCAGTGCATGTTGCTGGCAAAGCTAGCATTTGATGCCCCTCCCTCGTTGCCATTGAACTGAGTGGCTTGCAGTATTATCTCTCAGGGCTGTTTAGAATTAACCACTGTCTCATTCCAGCATATAATAGGGCAGAGAGAGCCATGACACATGATGGGGCCCTCGACATTCGGCTGTTCCCCTGTTAGGAGGAGAGGATTCTTGGCTGTGAGGACCGGAACTGTTCCTGGGGAGTTGTTGAATCCAAATCAGAAGCGGGAAGTATAGATGGAGTTAATGGATGGAAGGCTGGTTTGCATGATGGTCTGGGCTGTGTTCACAACTCTGTGCAGTTTGTTACAGTCGTGGGAAGAGCTGCCCCCACACTGTGATGCATCCAGATAGAATGCTTTCTGTGCTGCATGTATAAAAATTGGTGTGTGTCTTCACAGACATGCCAAATTTCCTTAGCTTCCTGAGGAAATAGAGACATTGTTGTACTTTCTTGACCATCGCATCAATGTGGGTGGACCAGGACAGATTGTTGGTGATTGTTGGGGCCCATTCCTCTGAGTGATGAGACAAATAGCCCAGGATGATGAGCTGCCTGACCCCTGTACTGTCCTGACTGACTTCCTGTCAACCTCTTAGAACTGGTTTCACCAGACCCACTGGGCTGATCATGGCCCACTCCCTGGACAATAGAGGTACCAACCCCTTGACCATGCCCATGCCCAGCAGCTGACTGAGCCCTGGACTGATATCGGAGAATCAAAGGAAGGATGTTGTGAACATCATAGAAGGCATAAAGTGAGTGAGCGGCAAGGGTGTCAGTGCAGAGCCCTGAGATATAGCATGGTCTAATCCATGAGATGGATTCCTGTCACAAAGTTTCCCGGCATCAGCATTCAGATAAAGGTAAAGTTGTGCTCCAAAGTGCTGCATTGAAGTGCAGAACTGTATTGCAAATGGATGGGAGATTTGCCATGCTGATGCACTAAGGATAGTACAAGTCCGATGCCAATGTCCATAGATGGTGGAAGGGCTGTGGCAGTTGCTGACCTTGGAGCGTACCTTGAGATGTTGGACACGGTGTACAAGAAGGCCAAACGAGCAAGTGGGGAACGAGAGTTGCCAAGCAACAGTTCTGACTTTCATGTCGGGAATTGTTGCCATCTACTTTCTATTTGGCGGGCAGGTGAATTGGTAATTTCATATTAATGAGGTGAGATTGGGTAATAATAACATGCTAATCTTACTTGCTGTTCTATAGTTGGTAGGAAAGTTGGGACAACTTGCTCTCAGTTTTGAGAAACTCATTGCTGGCAACCTCACAAGATTTTCCCAACATTCTTGAGTGGCGCATATTCACGGACTGGGAATATTTTGCACAAACTCCTTGAATATTTTTAAGACAGAGGTGGATAGATTCTTGCTAATTAAGAGGGGCCAGATGAAAATGGGAATTTCAGGTTAGAATCAGATCAGCCATAACCTTATTAATGTTGCATAGCAGACACAAGAGGTTGAATGATTTATTCCTGTTTCTTGTGTATATGTTGTTATGGACCAGACCAGACCCCTCCTCCCACAAAAGTTTTGGAAGGTGATAGACTAGACCCTAACTTTTATATTTATTTAAAGGCAAATGTAAGGTGTTGTGTTCTAGATGTGATTCAATTCATCCACCGCAAGGCTTTCACCAGAACACACTTTATTCTTACAACACATTTAAAATACAAAAAAAGGAACAATTGGCATTGCTTTAACTTTTTTGAAATACTTAACAAGATAATGTATAATTTAATCACTAATCATCAACTATTCCAATACAGGCAACATCCCATGAATGACACCCACTTTGGCAAAAGTGCAATTCAGCACAGCAGTTAAGATTCTCACTTGCTGTGTCTCTCTAGTCCAGAAGAAAGTAACAACCTGCCCCTTTTGAATTTTAAGAGGAAGCCTCATTACAGCAGCCAGGAATTCAAGCTTTTAGCTCAGCAGCCAGCAGAAACCTCCCCACTAACTGAAAGCAAAACTAAAAGTCTTCCTGAGTCTGTGTGAACACTGACCACCCACTCATGAATCTTTTGCGTCATTTAAGAAAAACAAAAGCTGTTCACCAACTTTCTGTGTGAAGAAGACATTTCAGATCTACTAGGTAACACCAATATGCAAGAGAAACAGCACAAAAACACATCACTCTTCAAGGCACACTACCGTCACAATGCTGATAGTTGATCTTTGTAGATTTGTACCAAGATAGATTAAGTGACTGCGCAAGGGTCTGACAGATGGAGTACAATGTTGGTAAATGTGAGGTCATCCATTGGTAGGAATAACAGCAATATGGGCTATTATTTAAGTGATAAAAAATTGCGGCATGCTGTTGTGCAGAGGCACCTGGGTGACCTTGTGCATGAATCACAAAATATTTGTTTGCAGGTGCAGTAAGTAATTAAGAAGGCAAATAGAATATTGTTCTTCATTGCTAGAGGGATGGAGTTTAAAAATAGAGAGGTTACGCTGCAGCTGTATAGGGTGCCGGTGAGGCCACATCTGGAGTACTGTGTACACACAAAAGCATCTCTACATCTCTACTAAAAAAGTCAATCATGGCAAGAGGGGGTCTTGTGGCACAGTGGTAGTGTACCTGCCTCAGAATCAGTAGGCCCACGCTCAAGATTCACCTGCTCCAAAGGTGTGTCACAAAATCCATGCATAAGTTGATTAGAATGTATGCATTTGGGAATCCAACAATGGAGCCAGAACTTTGTTTTGTGGATTAATTGGGTAACTGGAACTTTTAATTTTTTTTAAAGATCCTATTTTTGTGATTGGAATATCACTGGTAAGATCAATATTTCTTTCTCCCCCAACATTGCCCTTGAGTAAATGGTGTTGAGCTCTTTTTAAAGCACTGCAGTCCTTGCAAAGAAGGAGAAGAAGAGAAAGAAAAATATGAAGTATCTTAGGGCCCTTGCATCGTGCAGTGGTAGTCTTCCTTATCCCTGGACTGCGAGACCTGTGTTCAAGTTCCACGTGCTGCAGAGATGTGCAATAACATTTCTGAATGGGTTGATTAGAAAAATAGGTTAAATTAAGAAGTTCAAAAAAAAATTAAGTGAAGTATCTTAGGGCCCGCTTGTGGCACAGTGGCGGTGTCCATACCCCTGGACTAGGAGGCCCATACTCAAGTCCTACCTGCTCCAGGGAGATGTAATAACATCTCTGAATGGGTTGATTAGAAAAATAAGTTACATAAAAAAGAATAAATGAAGTATCTTAGGGCTTTTGTAATGCAGTGGTAGTGTTCCTGCTGAGATCAAGAGCCACCTGCCACAGAGTTGTTTAATAATGTCTCTGGATGTGTTGATTAGAAAATATCTCAGTGAAGTTCCTTGAACCTGGGACCATTCTCATGTCTGCTCTGTGCAGCCTCTCTAATGCCTTTGCATCTTTCTTATGGCGTGGTGTCCACATTAGTTAAGGCCAAAACAGTGTTTTATAAAACTTGGTGATAATTTCCTTGTTTTTGTACACTATGGCGTGAGTTTTGTCATGGGCTTCAGGATCTCAGTGGTGTGCACCACAACTGGTGGGGACTGACAAGTGTCCAGATGCACCCATCATCGTTCCAAGAATGGAGGGCTCAGAAACGTTCCCATTACTGAGTGAGGAAATCAGGTCAATGATAGGACAATAATTAGCACTGACATTAGGATGTTGATCAACCTCTAATCTGGAGTTTTTACATGGCTAGAACTTGCTCCTGAAAGCATAAAAGACATGCAAATATTGAAAGATAGTAAGAACTGCCGATGCTAGAGTCAGAGATAACACAGTGTGGAGGTGGAGGAACACGGGAGGCCCGGCAGCATCAGAGGAGCAGGAAAGCTGAAGTTTCAGGTCAGGACACTTCTTCAGAAAAATCTGAAGAAGGGTCCCGACCCGAAATGTCAGCTTTCCTGCTCCTCTGATGCTGCCTGGCCTGCTGTGTTCCTTCAGCTCCACACTGTGTTATGCAAATACTGAACTTTGGTCACCTTTGTGACCAGCTTAAATGTCTTTCCCTGCAAAATCTTTACAATATTTTAAGAGTACACTTCTAATGACATTCAGATTGAGACATACCTTATGAATAATAGTACAAGTTTATTGTGCGCCCTTCAGTTTTATAACTGAACAAAGCTGAAAGTTCGTCTCCCATGTGAATCTCATGTGCAGCAAAAAACCACCAGCTATTACTTTGAAGCATTCAGGCTAGTAGAAATGCAGCCCATAAATTTGAAAAAGTGAATAGAAAATTTACACGGATATGGTTTCCCAAAGAGTGATAAATGTTTGCAATAATCTGAAGACAAGGTAGAGATAAATGCATTACAATACATTTGCTGTTAGTCTGCAGAATTGGCTTTGATGGGCTAGCTGGCTTTTTATAAGAACTGAAAGAACTGCAGATACTGTAAATCAGGAACAAAAACAGAAGTTGCTGGAAGCTAAGCAGGTCTGGCAGTATCTGTGAAGAGAAAATCAGAGTTAATGTTTTGGGTCCAGTGACCCGTCCTCAGAACTGATGGTGGCTGCGAAAATGTCAGTTAATATGCAGAAAATAGGGAGAGGAATGGGGTAGGGAGTAAAGGGGATAGACAAAGAAGTTGATAACGATCTGGCTGGGAGGGTGAATAGTTGTTAATGGGTACTGTTAGTGACTAACAATAGGTAGTGTGTAATGGCAGGCTATGTGATAACAAGGCCTGGTGTGTGGGGTAGGGGGCTAGGACATGGGAGAGTTTAGGCCCCAAAATTATTGAACTCAGTATTGAGTCTGGAGGGCTGCAGGGTCCCCAAGCGGAAAATGAGGTGTTGTTCTTCCAGCTTGCGTTGATCTTCGCTGGAACACTGCAGCCAGAGACAGAGATGTTGGCCAGGGAACAGGGCGGTGCGTTAAAGTGGCAGGCAACTGGTAGTTCAGGGTCTTTATAGTGAGCAGAGCATAGATGTTCTGCGAAGCGGTCACCCAGTCTATGCTTCGTTTCCCCAATGTAGAGGAGACACATTGCGAGCAGCGAATGCAGTAGACTAGATTCTGGGAAGTGCAGGTGAAGTGTTGCTTCACCTGGAAGGTATGTTTGGGCCGTTGGATAGTGGGGAGGGAGGAGGTAAATGGGCAGGTATTGCACCTTTGCCGGTTGCAGAGGAAGGTGCTGTGGGTCTGTAGGGGGTTGTTGTTCTAGTCCTATTCCAGCCCCCACCCACAAATCTTTCTCTGATACATTGATGGTATCATCGGTGCTGCTTCCATCTCTTGTTGGGAATTGGAAAAGTTCATCGAGTTCGCTTCTAATTTCCACCCTGCCCTCATTTTCACCTGGTCTATCTCTGACTCCTCCCTTCCCTTCCTTGGCATCTCTGTTCCCATTTCTGGGGATAAACCCACTGACTCCCACAGCTACCTGGACTATACATCCTCATGGCGTTCTTCCTGTAAAGACTTCATCCCATTCTCTCAGTTCCTCCATCTCCATCGCATATGTTCCGACGAGGTCAACTCCAACAAGGGAGCCTCTGAAATATCCACCTAAGAATCCTCAACCGAGGATTCCCCAGCACTATTATCGACAGGGCCCTCAATCGGGTCCGACCCATCTCCGACACTTCCGCCCACAACCCCTCTCTTCCCTCCTGCAACAGCAATAGGGTTCCCATAGAACATAGAACAGTACAGCACACTACAGGCCCTTTGGCCCACAATGTTGTGCCGACCTACTAAGATCAATCTACCCTGCATACCCTACATTTTAGTATCCTCCATGTGCCTATCCAAGAGTCGCTTAAAAGTCTCTAAAGTATCTGACTCCACTACCACTGCCGGCACGCATTCCACACACCCACCACTCTCTGTGTCCTTACGTTACTCTCTGTCCTTACCTACCATTCTACCAGCATCCACATCCAGAAGATCATCAGACACCACTTCCGTCACCACCAGTGAGATGCCACCACCAGACACATGTTCCCCTCCCCTCCCTTGTCTGCCTTCCACAGAGACCGTTCCCTCCGGGACACCCTGGACCATACTTCCTTCATCCCCAAAATCTCCCCACAGCCCTACGGCACCTTCCCCTGTAACTGGCGAAGATGCAACACCTGCCAATTTACCTCCTCCCTCCCCAGTATCCAAGGGCCCAAAATTACCTTCCAGGTGAAGCAACACTTCACCTGCACTTCCCAGAATCTAGTCAACTGCATTCGCTGCTCACAATGTGCTCTCCTCTACAGTGGGGAAACGAAGCGTAGACTGGGTGACCGCTTCACAGAACATCTGTGTACTGCTCACAGAAAAGACCCTGAACTACCTGTTGCCTGCCACTTTAACGCACCACCCTGCTCCCTGGCCAATATCTCTGTTTCTGGCTCGCTTTGGTGTTCCAGAGAAGCTCAACGCAAGCTGGAAGAACACCACCTCATTTTCCTCTTGGGGACCCTGCAGTCCTCTGGAATCTATATCAAGTTCAATAATTTTGGGGCCTAAACTCTCCCGTGCCCTAGCCCCCTATCCCACTCACATCAGGCCTTGTTATCTCATAGCCCTGCCATTACACACTACTTATTTTTAGTCACTCACAGTCCCCTTTAAGGACTATTCATCCTCGCAGCCAAATTGTTATCAACTCTTTTGTCTATCCAACTGCTCTTCACTCTCTTTGGGCTCTATCCTATTGTTTACTCCCTACCCCATTACCCTCTCTATTTTCTGCATATAAACCTACATTTTCCCAGCTACAATCAGCACTGAGGAAGGGTCACCGGACCCGAAATTTCTGGGTTTTTTTTCCTGGCTTTTTATAAGCTTTGGCTGTTGTAGTATTCTTTGCACCAAATTAAATGTTATTAAACAATACCCTTTTTACAATCAAATCTTCAGACACTACTTCCTTCCTGTGAGAGGAAATGAAACTCATTGCAAGCGGATGCCATCACTGTACAATATTTACAGCATTGCTTAAAGGAGGTAATAGTCTCACAATGTACATATCTTGGAAAGTTTGGTACACCACAATGAGAAAAATTGGTTTAAAGAAAAATGTATTTGTAATATAACAATCACCACTGAGAAAGCATCAAACCTGTGATGTTTCCACCATGGATATGGATTCACTTACAATTCCAATACTTGCCTTCTTACAGGATTGTTGGATGGCTTAGAAATAATGAAACGGAAACATCATGGCTTTTCCTGGTCTCTAAAACAACTCTAAGAGAAACTGAGATAACAAGATCCCTTCTTCAGAAAGACCCTTCTTCCATTCCTGAAGAAGGGTCCAGGCCCGAAACGTCAGCCTTCCTGCTCCTCTGATGCTGCTTGGCCTGCTGTGTTCATCCAGCTCTACACCTTGTTATCTCAGATTCTCCAGCATCTGCAGTTCCTACTATCTCTAAGAGAAGCTCAGCAGAAATCCTCCCGTTCTTTTATATGAAGGATGAGAAATTAGACTGAGCCCATATTGCAGCCACAAAAGATGTGCCTAAAATAAAAGGGTGGAAGTGGCATGAGTGCTCATTACACATTAGAAATATACTGTCCAAAACTGCAAAACAGGCATCTAGTGCCTGTCTCTTAAGTGGTACATTTTCTAATTCACTCATGGCATGTGGGCGTCGCTGGCTGGCCAGCATTGATTGCCCGTCCCTAGTTGCCCTTGAGAAGGTGGTAGTGCACTGCCTTCTTGAACTGCTGCAGTCCATGTGCTGTAGACTGATCCACAATGCCATTAGGGAGGAAATTCCAGGATTTTGACCCAGCGACAGTGAAGGAACAGCGATATATTTTCAAGTCAAGATGGTGAGTGACTTGGAGAGGAACCTGCTGCTGGTGGTGTTCTCATATATCTGCTGCCCTTGACCTTTGAGATGGTAGTGATCATGGGTTTGGAAGGTGCTATCTAAGGATCTTCGGTGAATTTCTGTGGTGCAGGAGGGAGTGTGTTTGTGGATGTGATGCCTGTCAAGTGGGCTGCTTTGACCTGGATGGTGTAAAGTTTCTTGCGTGTTGTTAGAGCTGCACCCATCCAGGAAAGTGGGGAGTGTTCGATCACACTCCTGACATGTCCCTTGTACATAGAGGACAGCCTTTAGGGAGCCAGGAAGTGAGTTATTTGTTACACTATTCAAAGCCTCTGACCTGCTGTTGTAGCCACAGTATTTATATGGTTAGTTCAGTTCAGTTTTTGGTCAATGGTAGCAATGCAGATTTTGATAAAATGTTAATTTAGTGATGGCAATATCATTGAATGTCAAACAAATTGTCTCTTGTTGGAGAGGGCCATAGCCATGCGCTCATGAGGTATGAATGTGACTTATTAACTGTCAGCCAAAAACCTGGATATTGTCCCGATTTGGTTGCATTTGATCATGGACTGCTTCAGTGTCTGAGGAGTCATAAACTGAACATTGTGCAATCATCAGCGAACATCCCCACTTCTGACCTTGTACTGGAAGGAAGATCAATGAAGAAGCAACGGAAGATGGTTGGGCCTTGGACAATTTTCTGAGGAATTCCTGCAGAGATGTCCTGGAGCTGAAAACCTGATCTCTAACAACCACAGTCATCTTTCCATGTGCCAGGCAAGACGCCAACCAGCAGAGAGTTTGCCCCCTGATACCCATTGATTCCTATTTTGTTGAGGCTTCTCGATGCTACACTCAGTCAAGCTCAGCCTTGATGTCAAGGGCAGTCACTCCCAACTGCCCTCTGGAATTCAGATCTTTGCCCATGTTTGAACCCAGGCTGTATTGGGGTCAGAAGCTGAGTGGCCCTAGTAGGACCCAGATTGGACGTCACTGAGAAGGTTATTACTGAGCGGGTGCTGCTTGATAGCACTGTTGATGACACCTTCCATCATTTTACTGATGGCCGAAATTGATTGGGAGTCATTGGCTGGATTTAATTTGTCCTGCTTTTTATGTACAGGACATACCTGGGCAATTTTCCACATTGTCAGGTAGATGCCAGTATCGTAGCTAAACTAGAAAAACTTGGCTAGGTGTGCAGAAAATTCTGGAGTATACAACTTATCTATGATATTGTCAGGTCTCATAACTTTTGTAGTGTCCAGTGCCTCCAGCTATTTCTTGGGTAATATTGAATCATGTGGAGTAATATTGAATTGACTGAAGACTGTTATCTGTGAAGCTGGAGACCTCTGGAGGAGGTCAAGATGGATCATTCACTCGGCACGTCTGGCTGAAGATTGTTGCAAATGCTTCAGTCTTATCTTTTGCGCTGATTTGCTGGGATTCCCCATTATTGAGGATAAGGGTATTTATGAAACCTCGTCTTCGAGTAAATTGTTGGATTGTCCATCACCATTCACCAATTGATAGGCAGGACTGCAGAACTTAGATCTGATTTGTTGGTTGTGCATAGCTCTGTCTATCATTTGCTGCTTATGCTGTTTGGCATGCCAAAAGTCTCGGTTTGTAGCTTTACCAGGTTGACACCCCATTTTTAGGTATGCCCAGTGCCAGTCATGGCATGCCCTCCTGCACTCTTCATTGAACCAGGGTTAATCCCATGACTTGATGGTAGTAGTAGAGTGGCAATATGCTGAACAATGTAGTTATAAATTGTGTTGGAGTATAATTTTGTGACTCCTGATGATCTACTGTGCATCATGGATGCCCAGCCTTGAGTTCCTAAATCTGTTTGAATTTAGCATGGTGGTAGTTCCTCACAAGGCAATCCATAGTTCCTCCCACCCAGAGAATATTGATGAGTGTCTACAGAGGTTGGAGAAAGATTATGGTTGTAAGGAAAAAATGCACAGACCTGACTATTTAATCCAGTGAAATAGCAGTGTGAGTTTTATTATTTTGACTTGGAGGTATTACCGTTCCCATTATCCCTTCATTCAGCGTCATTGCAGCCTCAATGTGGAGTCCTCTGTGATATCATCTTACCTCTCATGGGCAGGCAAAAAATAGAAGTACTTATTAAGTAGAATTTTCACAGAGGTAGCTAAAGTATTTTCCTTCTTTGCTTTCTGTTGACTGTTGGGTTAAAGTAAGGAATTTATTTAGTATCAGAAGCACTCTCTAACTGTCGCATAGTTCATTAGAGCCAATTTAACATATCCGAAGTGTAGTCAAAGTTGTACATAATTTATATAAATGTGTCAAACAAGCAGAGGATTGCTTATGTGTGATTTTTTTGTGTGACTTTTTCTTTGTACAGATTCTGATGATAATATCCTGCAGCCAGAGAAACAAAGAGAGAAATGGGAAGAGAGTCATAGAAAAGGACGCAGAATCTCCCAGAGATCGATCAGCAAGGAGCGATGGGTTGAAACTTTAGTAGTTGCTGATACCAAAATGATAGAGTATCATGGCAGTGAAAATGTGCAGTCGTACATCTTTACCATTATAAATATGGTAAGATGAATTAAATTTCATATCCTTTCCTGAAAAAAAACAACTTGATGTACTGACCACACCAGAGGCACACTCCACTGAGCAGTAATTATTCAGGCCCATTATGACATTTATCTCTGTCATTGAACTTCCTCGCATTGTCTATTATTTGACTTTTTCTGATGGGTGGCCATGTCTGAATAGAAATGCAATTTGATGTTCATGGCTTCTTGAGGATAAATTTACAAATTGTCCTCAAAACCTCTCAAATGTGTATGTAATTTTCATGGTGAAAACAAAAATTGCTGGAAATCACAGCAGGTCAGGCAGCATCCATGGAGAGAAAGCAAGCTAATGTTTCAAGTCTAGTTGACTATTCATCTCTCCACAGATGCTGCCTCACCTGCTGTGGTTTTCAATACAGATTCCAGCATCTACATAGAATCCGTACAGCGTGGAAGCAGGCCATTCGGCCTATTGAGTCCACGCCAACCCTCAGAGCAGCCAACCCAAACCCATCCCTCTATAACCCACCTAATCTACACATCCCTGAACACACCGGGCAATATTGCATGGGCAATCCACCTAGCCTGCACATCTTTGGACTGTGGGAGGAAACCAGAGCACACAGAGGAAACCCATGCACAGGGAGAATGTGCTTTGGTATAGGGAGCTATGCAAATTGGAGGTGGAAATATGAGTGTAATAATGGTAGGGAATAGTTTAATTAGGGGCACAAATACTGTTCTGTGCAGCTGTGAATGGGAGTGCTAAAGCAGTGATACCTGCCTAGTGCTAACATTAAGGATATCTCCTCAGGAATATAGAAGAAAGAGAGGGGAGAAATCCATGTTGGTACTAATGACTCATGAAGGAGGTTCTGCTGAAAGATTTTGAACTGTTAGGAATTAAATTAAAAAAGCTCCATGGTAATAATCTCTGGGTTACTACCTGAGCCATGGACACATTGGCACAGGAAAAATAAAGTCAAGGAGTTCAATGCATGGTTCGACAATTGATGTGGATAGCATGGGTTTCAGTTCATGGGGCATTGGCACCAGGACCGAGGTAGAAAGGAGCTGTCTGGCAGATGGGCTTCACTTGAACTGTTCTGAAGAAAGGTCTCCTGACCCGAAATGTTAACTCTTGATTTCTCTCCACAGATGGTGCCAGACCTGCTGAGCCTTTCTAGAAATTTCTATTTTTGCTTCTGATTTTCAGCATCGACAGTTCTTTTTGGTTTTCACTTGAGCAGCGTCCGGGTAAATCAGATGAGTAGAGCTGAGGAGAGGCATTCAAAGTAATGAGAGGGAAAATATAGGCTTACAAAGCAAGAGGAAGTGGCAGCATCACAGAGCAGCTATTTGGATAATGATACCAAGAGTGAGACAGGAAGGGAAAGAGTGTACTAACAGGAAAAAAAAATGCCCTCAAAAGCGTCAAAAGGAGAAAAGTGGTAAACAAGCAAAATTAATGGCTCTTTTATGAATGCACCTAATATTTAAACAAAATAAGTGAATTAATGGCACAAATGCAGGTAAATGTGTTTGATCTTATAGCCATCACAGATACATGATTACATGGAGATTAAAGCTGAGAGCTAAATATTGAGGCACATGTGACTTTTTGAAAGGGCAGGGAGGAAGGAAAAGATGGTGGGGTACCATTGTTAGTATGGGATGGAATAAGTTTTATAGCAAGAAATGATTTTGATTTGAAATCAGTATGGGTGGAGGTAAGAAATAACAAGAGGAAGGAGATACCCATGGGCCTCCTAATAGTAGCTATAAGTTACATCTGAGATTAAATCAGAAGATAATGGGGGCGTGTCAAGAAAGCTGTAAGTTAATAATGGGTGACTTTAATCTTCATGTAGCCTGGGAAAGTCAAATTGGCACAGTTTGCCATGAAGATAAATTCTTGGTGTGTGTATGGGACAGTTTCCAAGAACAATGTAGTATGGATCCAACCAAGGACCAGGCTATTTTGGATCTATTAATGTATAATGAGGCAGTTATGATCAATTATGACAAAATAATAAAAATAATCCCCTCGGATACAATAGCCAGGTCATGGTAGAATTTAACATTCAGTTTAGGAGGGAGGGACTTAGGTTGGAAACAAATGTGTAATGTTGAAAGAAAGGTAATTACAGTGGAATTAGGGCAGAGTTATTTCAAGTGGACTGGGAAAGTGGAGTAGCAGCAAAGATGGTTAAGTAAAAATGGCAGACTTGTAAAGATATAGCTCATTGCTTATAGCAAAGATATATCTAGTGGGAAAGAAAGATTCTAGGAAAGGAATAAGTCAGCTGTGGTTAACCAGGATATTGAAAGAAAAACATACCATATTGCAAAGCTTAGTAATAAGTCAGATGATTGGGTGAATTTTAGCAACCAATAGAAGACACTAAAGAAAAATATAAAGAGGGAGAAGATAAACTTTGAGGGTAAACTTGCACATAGTATCAAGACTGAGGGGAAGACGTTCTTTAGGTATATAAAAAGGAAGAGAGTGATCAATGTTAACATTGGTCCCTTAGAAAATAAGACTGGGGAAACAATAATGGGGAATAGGAAATGGTAGAGAAATTAAGTAAATATTTCACAGTAGAGGACACTAATATCATTCCAAAATTTCTATATAATCAAGAGACAAAAGGATGAGACAAAATAAATACAATAACTAGAGGAAAGATGCTAGGGAAATTAATGGTACTAAAGACTGATACATCCTCCAGATGGATGGGATGGATCCAAGAATATTGAAGGAAGTATTGAACGCGCTGGTAGTAATCTTACAAAAATCCTTAGATTCTGGAGAAGTCCTAAAGTTTCAGAAAACCTGTCAGTGTAATACTTTTATTTAAAGGGATGAAACACACAAAAAAAGGTAGCCCTAGGCCAATTAGCTAATCATCTATTATTAGGAAAATGTTAGAGTCTAGTATAAAAGATGTGATAGTAGAAATCAAGAAATACATAATATGATCAAGCAGAGTCAGCATGGTTTCGTGAAAACATAATCATACCTGAAAAATGTATTAGAACTTTTGAGAAAGTAACAAACAGGATAGACAAAGGGGAAGCAGTGGATGAAGTATATTTGGATTTTCAGAAGGCATCTGATAAGGTATCACACCGTAGGCTACTTATTTAGGTTAAGTCCATGGTGTTAGAGGTGATATGTTAGCATGGATAGAGGAGTGGCTAACAAATAGAAGACAGAAAGTTGAGAGAAGGGGGCCCTTTTTCTGGATAGCATCTGGTAATTAGTGAAGTGCCACAGGAATCAATGCAGAGGCCACAATTATTTACAAAATGTATCAATAATTTTGATGAGAAAAGTGAATGTACGATAGCTAACTTTGTGGATGGCACAAAAATAGGTGGGAAGGCGAGTCTTGAGGATAACTGAGGAGTATAATGTGGGAAATTGTGAGGTTATGCACTTTGGCAGGAAGAATAGAGGAACTGAATATTATTTAATTGGTGAACTATTGCAGAAACTTACAGCTCCGAGGGATTTGGGAGTCCTTGTGCCTAAATCTCAAAAAACCAGAATACATATTCAACAGATAATAGGGAAGGTAGATAGAACATTGGCCTATGTTTCAAAAGAAATAGAGTATGTTATAAGGAATTCTTCCTAGAACTATACATGGGACCAATCAGATTAGAGCTACATACAGTGAATAATTTGGGCCCCTTATCAAAGGAAAGATACTTCATTGAAAGCAGTCCAGAGAAGGTCAGGGAGAGGAGAGGTTGACTAGGTTGGGCCTGTACTGATTGGAGTTTGGAAGAATGAGAGGCGACCCTGTCAAGTCCCTTAAGAATATTGCATGTTTCAGTAAGAGACTTGACAGGATAGAAAAGGTTATTTTCCCCTATGGGAGAGTCCAGGACCAGAGGACATCATCTCAGAGTAAGAAGTTGCCCTTTTAAGACAGAGAGAAGGTGGAATTTCTCCTCTCAGCAGGCAGTGAATTTGTGGAATTCTTTACCACAGAGGGCTGTTGAACTTGTGTCTTTAAGTATATTCAAGGCTGACATGGACAAAATTTTAATCAGTGTCGGAATCAAGGGTTATAAGGAAAATTGGAGTTGAGGATTATCAGATTTGTCATGGTCTCATTGGATGACAAAGCAGACTCAATAGACTGAGTGGCCTACCTCTGCTCTTACACCTTATGGTCCCAGACCACCTTCAGCTGATATATGAGGCTTTCAATGGGGTAGAACGCACTTCTGCCTACCACAGTGCGAGTGGGAAATCTCTGCCTATTCTGGAGCAGTTTTTGGAGCTGATCTGCTTTACCTTTTCAGCATTTTATTTTGGTTACTTCATGTTTGTACTGCCCTGTTTAATTTTTAAGGTACTCATCTAATGCTGACGTTGGTGTTCTATCCTATTGTATTTAGTTTGAATCTGCAGATGCTTCCCAATCCATTTCTGTCTGCTTCACCACTCCATTCTTTCTTGACAATGTCATCCACACATCTACCAGCCAAAGCACTCTAATGCTGACGATTCAATCCTATTTCATCTATTGATATTTATTTGCTCTCACTATCTGCTTTGAACAGAACTGAAATTGCAGCATCTTCCCCCATTTCTAAATCTGCCTCACAAAACAAAGTTATTTGGAATATGAAAGACCTACAGCCTGTTTGGGCCAGATATTCTATCTACCTACTCAATGGCGTTTTCTTTTTGAAAAAAAGTCCTCTGAAGATTTTGCTACTTCTGCTGTCCAAGTTTACACTTATTGTCCATTTCTAGCTGACTTGTGTACATGGTAGTGTGCCGTCTCGTTCAAACACTGCAGCCTTCATAAAGTTGCTCCCACAATTGTATTATGTCAAGATTGCTGAAAATATTGAAAATTGAAGTATTTGCGAGTGAGGTGGATGGGTAACACCACTCATATCATATGAACACATTTTTAAAAAGCCATATAAACTGGGGAGAACTTTTAGCTCAAAAGGCTAAAAGGTTTCTCATTAAACGAGAAAGGG